TCTCTAACAGTCGCGAGATGAAGGGGTAACGTGGTCCCGCACTCTGAAAACCAATACGTGTGGGTGATTGGGGACAACCTTTATTTTCTTAACCTCATCCTCAAGTTTCAACTTTATTCATTGGATCCCCTCCCTCGTCCCTTCTCTCTCCCACTGCTCTTTTTGCTTTTGCTTATGATAATGATTTTATGGGCCGAGAAACCTAGCCACAAGGGCCATTCAGAAATTGTAGATGTTGACAATTTGTCACAAAAACAATTTCTTTTTTTTTTAAGGGTCCCAACTCCCAGTTAGCGGGTTCTGGCTTCGTCTTTGGGTGATGGGTAATGTTAACTTTGCATCAAACTAAGTTATTATATTCTATCGAAAATCAGATAAAGCGCTGGTATAGATAAAATAAAACTACAAGTTTTGATAAGCTACGTTCCATTGAGCATTTGAGCTTATATCATATATCATGATGTACGTTTATTAAATCCCAGTGGTGCCATTTATTTAAGGGGAAAAAAGAAAGGAAAGTGCGTGGGAAAATTTTAAATTTGCAGGTTGAGGAAAGTTTGCATGCGCTGTCAACTGTAACAAAACAGTGAAGGTGCTAAGGTGGTGGGTCGAGATTTTCAAATGACAGATAACAAAAACACATCTTACGCGGAACTGAGCTGTGTGATCACTTTCGCATCTTGTTAGGAAAATAATGTTTTCACATATGACTAGAAAATAAGAGTAATAAAAAATAAAAAGAAGACGTGGATTTTAACGACGTGCATTAATATTCACAACTACAATTAACGAGTATAATATTTACTTTTATTTTCATGAGAATATGACATTTATTGTAAATAGAGATGAAAATATAGCTTATAAATTTTGTTTTAGTCCAACTTATTACTGCAAATCTTTTTTTTATTATTATTATTAAAGAACCTAAATTTCCTATAAATTAAATAAATTTCCCCCAATATACACACTTATGTTTTCAGTTCCCAACATATAAATAGTAGAATCCTGGAAAAGCTGCAAAGTTTTCAATGCGTTGCCTGGCTACGAGTGGAAAACGTCGTAGCGAACAATCTAACGTGCGTATCAAAATTACTCAAAGCATTTTACGCCCCCACCCCTCGAAAAAAAAAAAAAAAAAAACCCAAGACGCTCAAAGCAGCTTATTGCCGTGTAAATCGTTCATTCATTATGTGCTAAAAAAATAAAATAAAAACAAAATTCGTTCATTCATTCATTTGGCTTCTCGTGCAATCTTAGTTCTTGTTTTGAATGATATCAAATATGAAAATCATTCCTACCGTATTTGTCGAATAGTATTTTTTTTTTTTAAGTTGTAAAATAGTTTTTATTCAAGAAATCATCGGCTTCTAATATCTTGGCACCAATGTCGTAGCCACATTGGAACCAGCAAATATCTTGGCACTAGCTAATTTCCAAAATCATAAGCTTTTTTTGATCTTCAGTGGCTGTAAATGATTTGCTTCCTTCATAGCTGTTAATTTTGGCACTAGCTTCTTTTATGGTTGGCTGATTTTTGGCACTAGCTTCCCAATTTTTCTGGCTCCGCCACTCCTTGACACTCGTCGAAAAAAAGCACGAAAAATGAATGAATACGTGGAAAAGGGATTTTACATGCACAAATCATTATAATCTTTTTGTGTTGAGATATAGTGTGAGATTCACGTTTGAGTAGCTTAGCTCATTGATAGTGATCTCCCATCACGAGTTTTCCATGGACTCGCCCGTATCAGAGCCAAGTTAGGCTCGAGCTAACCAGGTGTTTGGCTAGGAGGCGGGTTGAGTATCTAGGGTACTCGGTTGATGGGGAGCATATCAATGGTGGGTCTCACACTTGAGGGGGAGATTATTAGAGTATTAAAGTGTGATGAGTGGAAGGACTCGTGCACCTAATGCCTTAAGATTTTGGATTTGATTATGGTGTTCCGAGCCCACTTAATGTCATTGTTCACTTGGCCCGTAGTTGGTGGTCTCTCCCCGCCATGAGCTCCCCGTGCACGGAGTGGTATCAAAGCTAATGGTGGATTGTGACCTGTGGTGATCCGAGTATGTCTTGATGTGGGAAGTCAAGGTCTTGATGAGTGCAGTCATGCAAGCCCTGATGAAAGAGCCAATGGTATGCACCTAATGCCTTAAGATTTTGGATTTGATTGTAATGTTTCAAACCCATTTAATATCGTTGTTCACTTGACCCATGATTGGCGGTTGACTGTCTCTTCCCGCCATAAGCTCCACTTGCACGACCTAACAAATCAGTCTTCATACACCGTGTGCAGTGAAAAGTCTAGGTTAGTTATAAATATAATTTTTTTTAAAATAGTCTCTCTCTATATATATATGTGGGAATTAATTTTCTCATTTTATATGAGAAAATTTTCTTATGCTATACACACCATACATGAGTCGGGTCCACAAAAATATGAGAAAATAAAAAAGTCAAGATGTGACCCACTCATGTATTGTGAGTGTAGCATGAAAAAATAAATATATATATATATATATATATATATATATATATAGGAAAATACTATTCTCCTCTTACATAAGGTAACTTATCTCATTTTCTCTCACTTCGATTTTCGCACTCCATTTTTTTTTCTTTTTTCTTTTTATAATGGTGGGACTCACCCATTTTCTCTATACAACATAAGATAACTATCTTATGTAAAAGGAGATTAATAAAACACACACATATATATATATATATTAGATCATTTTTAACCTCTAGATGAATAAGTGGTCATCATAATTATAACTTATTTAACAAGAATTTTTTATATCTTGACAAATTTGGGGTTGGATTTTATAAAATATTTTTGGCTATGTAACGCCACTCATAAATTTTTAACATAAAAATATTATATATTAACTTTTTATATTTAAAACTTTATTACATTATACTTATGTTTATTTTTTTGATAATTGTAAAAATAAACGAGTGGAATATAAAAGAAAGTTTTAAGCTTTAAAGGGATTGGCCTAATAGTAATTGGTAATATGTGGTGTATAGTTAAAAACAGTGTTATATTCATTTATCAAAAAAAAAAAGGGTAACCCCTTGTGCTGCCTGCACAAATTATCAAGATAACATGGGTACGTGCATCCAAGGTTTTAAAGTGAACTTTTTTTTTTAAAATAAATAATCCTGTTTTGATAGCCTAAGGAATGGAAATTAAGTGCACTATTTTCTTATAATAAGGAGTCTACAATCTTTTTACCAAAAAAAAAAAAGGAGTTTGTTGAGATATATAGTCCTACATTGATTGATGGGCAACTAATATAATCTTTATAAGGCCTTGGGCACTCCCACCCCTTGAACTAGCTTTTGGGGTGGTGTATCCCAAGGTTCTTTACATGGTAATGTGGAGTTTATAAGGTCTTGGGCACTCCCACCCTTTGAGCTAACTTTTGAGTGGTGTATCTCAAGGTTCTTTACAGAGTTTACAATCTTGTTTTATAAAATATGGGGGTTAATTTTCTTTAACATTAGGGATTTTAATAAAAAATTGACTAATTAAAATGAAGAAGCTAAATAAAATATGTATGCATTTGTATCAAATTTCCCATCAATAAAAAAAAACTATAGAAAAATATTACAAAAATGAGCACCGCAACGGCAGTGATTTTATAACACCACGATGAATTCATGCAGTTGGAAAGCCGCCAAGTCATATATCATGCAGCTACACACCAAATTTGTGAGCTGTAGAGAGTAGAATACTAGTGACGGTGGTCCCAAGTCGTAGTAATCACACTTTGTCTCAAATGCAACTCAAATTAAATAAAAATACTTATTCCTGAACCAATGTTATTTATTCATTTACGAAAGGAGATTTTTTCTCGAAAATATTTTTTTGTTACACATATAAATGTATAATATATAACTAGTGTCCATTAATATTATTAAAATCGGCTCGATTATTGACCGATCGAGATATTAAGTTATTCGATTACTTGTTCATCCGCATGACCAATAATTATATACAATTATATATTGTATATTTATAAATATACACAAATATCTAAAAAAATGATAAAATTTTTATTTTAATATTAACAATAATAAATCACACATTCTTATCTAATAAAGAATCAAATAAAAATACAATGATCGTGATACGAGAGTTCAAGTTCAGTAAACGACATGTTTAACTATAAATCAAATCAAAATTTCCTGCATAATGTATAATTGAGATATATTAGTATTACATGTACGTAATATAAATCAATAAAAATATATATATTCAAATACGTTCATTATAATTATTTTTTTGAATATTTTTTTGAGATCGGGTCGGGTCATCGATTAAGTGATCGGGTTACCGATTTTCACGAAAACCAGCCGAGTCGCATCGGTTCTGATGCATGGCCGGTCTATTGCTTTATCCGGATCGATTATATGATCGGTTCATCGTTTCTTCGGTTGATCTGGCTGAACCGGTCCAATTTTATTAATATTGATGTTCACAAAAAAAGTGAGAAGACAAAAAAAATAAAATAAGATCCTTTAATTATAAGTAAAACATGAGAAAATAAGTGTAAAATTTTCTCATGAAAAAAATATTTTCCGAAATTAGAAAGTAAAAGAAAAAACAATGGCATGGCTTTCCTTCCCCGTATAGGATACAGCTCAGATGCTCGCTTAGTCGCTTGCTTCTGACACAAACAATTCTATGCAACCCAAAGGTCAATTCCGTCAAACTACCAATAACCTTTTTTTATCTTCCATTTGCTTTAAATAAATAAAAAAACATTTATTTATTTTATATCAGTATAGGTTGGTTAATCAAGATTGTAGAAGAAGAATGGAATAGTATTTAATTTACAGAAAATAAATAAAAATTTAAAAGGGAAAGGTATTTGGAGCTCCTCCATCGTTCTGCCTTTAAAGTTTCAAGAGACACCTACTAATTCCGATTAGGACCTTACCCACCCACCACCACACCACTCACTATCTCTCTGCCACCACAACCGCCATCTCCGTCTCCGATTCTAATCGAGATCCTCATTGCTCATCATTGCTCACTGCTCAATCTGTATATAGCATTGTTGCAGCAGCTAATTCTCTCGCCTCGCATTATCTTCGCTTGCATTTTTCCCCCTCCTCGGTAAGTTTTTTTTTTCTCTTTCTTCACATTAATCGGTGAATATTGTGGTTTGCTTTCTGGCTGTTTCCACTTCCTTAACCATTCCCATTGTTTTTTTGGCTCGCTGGCTTCGGACCCGAAACAGTTTCAGTGAAACCTCTTGCTACAAATCTTTTTTTTTTTTTTTTTTTGTTCCGTTTTCATGGATGATTTTTTCTTCTTCTTATTTTTTTTTTGTCGGTGACTTGAGTTGAGGTTCTGTTCCGTGTGCTTCCAATTAGAGCAGTTAATTCCCGAAGAGTTGGTATAATTCCTAATCTACGCTGCTCTAGGCCATACTTGATTTTCACTTAAACGAGTCTTTGATTAATTTGGATCTAATTTCAGCGATAAAGACCGTTAGGAATAATAAGTAATCATAATGAAAGCTCTCTTTTATCTATTTTTTTATTTTATTTTTAAAATACCCCATTAACTTCCTTTTGTCTCAAGTTTGAGCAATGAGTGCACTTGAGAGAAAAGAATATTATATATATTTTTTTCTTCATAATTTTGGTAAACGGTTAGAGCATGCGTTCCTGCACATTAGAGATGTTAGGGAAAGCGCAGTGGTTAGATCTTGGAGATCAATGTTGCATAAATAAAACTTGATATCATTGCCTTGTGGATGTGTTTTCACTGCAGAAACAGTACCTCCCTGCTTCAATGCATTACACCGACATAGTAATCTCACTCAAACCGGGACAAAAGCCTGGGTTCAACTCAATCTGCTTTTGCCACCAACAATTGCCAACGCACAATAATGCATGTTCATTTTCCGCATGTTGCGTTTTTTTTTTTTTTTTTTGACTTACGAATTTAAGATGTTGAAAATTTTAAGGTGTAAATTCCTACTTGAATATTCGTGTTAAAATCTTATTACGGGCTGTCTTGTCGTCATTCAAATCGAGTTATTGTGAACGGCGTTGGTTCAATGAAAAGAGGATAAAATAGAATCATTCCCGTGGTGGTAAGACGAGATAGTGTTTTGTGAAACGATGGAATTGATTATGGAGTTTGGATCACAGTCTGTTCTGTACTAGTTATGAGAATTTTGCATTGCCAACTGGTAAAACCCTCATCTAGCTATTAAATTTATATACTTAATTTTACATGGTGTTTATAGTTTCCGATGGACCGACGCTGGCCCTGGAAGAAAAAATCATCTGACAAGGCTGTGCTTGAGAAATCAGCTGCTACATTGGACTCCTCCGATGCTTCCAATCAGGTATATTTATTGGCATTTTCAGAAAAAAAATTTGTACCACGAAAAATTTCCCTTCTTCTTGGCTGCTATTTGTCAATTAAGGTCTTTTTTATTTTATTTTTAAATGTATAGTTTTTGCCACTTTGCATATGATCCGGTTATTATTTATTTATTTTTATTTTTGGGTTCAAATGTTCTCCAAGTTTCCTATTTTTTCTGTGCTTGTATTCAGTAGCCTTCTATTAATTTAAAATTATTCATGGCACGCTATTAAGCATATTTACACTTTCTGGACATTATTTATGTGTTATAGTTTCCTTGAATAAAAACTGTGGTTCTCCTCCTCTTCTTTGTGTGTGCGTGTGTCTCAAGAACTTAAAAATGGAAACAGCAAGTACACTCTTAAGTCTTTGGCTTTGTGGATTTAATGATGTGATTAAATTAATAGTTTTTTCTTCGTTTTCTCTTTCTTGTGTTGATTCACTTATGCATACAGGATAACAACAAGAAACTGAACTATGTCCAAATCTCTATGGAATCCTATTCACATCTGACTGATTTGGAGGATCAAGTGAAGTCATATGAGGATAAAGTTCAGACACTTGAGGAAAAAGCTCAGACGCTTGAGGATGAAATCAAGGAAATGAATGAAAAGCTGTCAGCAGCAAACTCTGAGATCAATACCAAGGAAAGCATGGTAAAACAACATGCTAAAGTAGCTGAAGAAGCTGTGTCAGGTAAAATGCTTAATGATTTTACCATCTTAAACATGGTAAAGCTTGAAGCCTGCCTTACTAGAAGTTGCTTCTTGTTGTCCTTGGAATTAAATTTCTATTGAAATCTGCAGGCTGGGAAAAGGCTGAAGCAGAAGCTTTGGCATTGAAGAACCATCTAGAATCTGTCACTCTTTTAAAACTAACTGCTGAAGACCGTGCATCACATTTAGATGGTGCTCTTAAAGAGTGTATGCGACAGATACGAAACCTTAAGGAAGAACATGAACAGAAAATACAAGAAGTTGCTCTCTCAAAAACCAAGCAATTAGACAAGATTAAGGGGGAGCTTGAGGCAAAGATAGTTAACTTTGAACAGGAACTCCTTAGATCTGCTGCTGAAAATGGGGCTCTGTCAAGGTCATTGCAGGAGCGCTCTAACATGCTAATCAAATTAAACGAAGAAAAAGCTCATGCTGAGGCTGAAATTGAGCTTCTTAAGGGCAACATAGAATCATGTGAAAGAGAAATTGGTTCACTTAAATATGAACTTCATGTTGTTTCCAAAGAGCTTGAAATTCGCAACGAAGAAAAAAACATGAGTATGAGATCTGCAGAAGCTGCTAACAAGCAACATTCAGAGGGTGTAAAAAAAATTGCTAAGTTAGAGGCTGAGTGCCAAAGATTACGTGGTTTAGTGCGGAAAAAACTACCTGGTCCTGCTGCACTTGCACAGATGAAGCTAGAAGTTGAAAATCTTGGCAGAGATTATGGAGAAAGTCGATTAAGGAAGTCTCCTGTCATGCCTGCTACACCTCATTTGTCCCCCCTACCTGAGTTCTCCCTGGAGAATGTACAGAAATTCCAGAAGGAGAATGAATTTCTTACAGAGCGTTTATTGGCAATGGAAGAAGAAACGAAGATGCTCAAAGAAGCTTTGGCAAAACGTAACAGTGAATTGCAGGCCTCAAGGAGTACGTGTGCTAAAACACTCAGCAAATTTCGAAGTTTGGAAGCACAACTTCTGACAAGTAATCAGCAGAAAGGATCTCCAAAATCCATCATCCAGATAACCCATGAAAGCATTTACAATCAAAACACAAGCAATGCACCCAGCTTGATTTCTATGTCTGAAGATGGAAATGATGACGCAGGAAGTTGTGCCGAGTCTTGGTCTACAGCAATAATCTCTGGACTATCCCAATTTCGTAAAGAACAGAGTACTGTGGAATCAAGCAAATCTGAAGCTACTAAGAAGTTGGAACTAATGGATGACTTTCTGGAGGTGGAGAAGTTGGCTGGTTTATCAAATGATTCCAATGTAGATGCCACTGTTTCAGTTTCTTTAAACAATAAGAGAACTGACATTGTGACCGATGATGTATCAGTAGTCACTGCTGACAAAGATGGTCTGTCTGAAAAGAATGGCGATTCAAATACACTGCAAAATCAAGTGTCTTCGGGTGCTTTGTTGTCTGTACCTGATCCCCAATCTGATGTTGATGGCTTCTTATTAACAGAGCTTAGATCAAGAATATTGCTGGTTTTTGAGTCCATGGCTAAGGATGCTGATATCGGGAAGATTGTGGAGGATATCAAACACGTCCTAGAAGATTCACATGACACTGTCATCCAGCACTCTGTGGGCTGCATTTCCCTGGATGACCAGCCTTCTGATGCTGCATGTGATAGGCAGGATAATCCTGAAGATGCAGGCTTAAACCTTGAAAAGAAGGAAACCATTTCATCCCCCCAACCTAAAGAATATGTGCATGTAACTTCAGATTTGGAAGCTGCAATTTCTCAGATTCGTGACTTTGTGTTGTTCCTAGGCAAAGAAGCAATGGCATTTCATGACATATCTGGTGATGGAAATGAAATGAGGCAAAAGATTGAGGAGTTCTCTGTCACCTTTAATAAAGTGTTATGCAACAATGCAAGTTTACTACAGTTTGTTCTTGACCTGTCTTACGTTTTTGCTAAAGCAAGTGAATTCAGATTTAATGTCCTTGGCTACAAGGGTACAGAAGCTGAAACTAACAGTCCTGATTGCATAGATAAGATTGCCTTGCCTGAAAATAAGTTAGTTCAAGACAATTCATCTGGGGAAAGATATCAAAATGGTTGTTCACATATTCTTAATCCCTGTTCTGATCCGGAGGTGCCTGATGATGGAAATTTGGTCTCAGGCTATAAACTGAATGCTACATCACAGAAACTCTCAATGGAGAAATTTGAAGAATTGAAACTAGAGAAGGAAAAAGCAGTAATTGATCTGTCAAGATGTACTGAAAATCTTGAAATGACAAAGTCTCAATTGCAAGAGACTGAGCAACTTCTAGCAGAAGTTAAATCACAATTGGCTTCTGCTCAACGATCAAACAGCTTGGCTGAGACGCAGCTAAAGTGTATGGCAGAGTCGTACAAGTCACTTGAAACGCGTGCCCAGGAGTTTGAAACTGAGCTGAACCGTCTGCTAATTAAGACAGAAACTCTGGAGAATGAGCTTCAAGATGAAAAGAGGGCTCATGAAGCTGATTTGGCCAGGAGCAAGGAGCTAGAAGAGCAATTACAGAGGTTAGACACCATCTAATATCATCACAAGTACTGAAATTATGCATTCTATTGATTGCAGATTTTCAGCGTTGTGTTTGTAGTGATCTAAATAGGAAAGTGTTTGATGAAAAGCAGGATTTCATATATTTAATTTTATGGAAATCTCTGTTGCTAGTTCTATATCTGATTTCTGTGTTACAATGTCTGCTAGGATTGAGGGCACAGCAGCTGATAATGACCTCAAGATCTCGCAGGTAAAGCTGTAATTCCATAGTGAATATAAATTACCATGTTGGATTTAGCATGTCATATTGCTAAATACAACATTAAGTTGGAAAAATCAGTATGTCATGATACTTAAAAATATCATAATGTTTATCTCAATCTGGGAATTCTTTAGATAGGTTGAAATTCTAAGATTGAATTCATTTTTTGATGCAGGATAAAGATTTGACGGCTGCTGCTGAAAAGCTTGCTGAATGTCAGGAAACCATATTTCTTCTGGGCAAGCAGTTAAATGCTCTACGTCCTCAAACTGAGCCAATAGTATATCCTCACAGTAATATAAATCCAAAAGTTGAAGGCTTCATAGAGGATGAACCTACTACTAGTAGCCCAAATTTTCAAGAATTAGGTGAATTGGAGATGGACAGTGCTCCTTCTGCTTTTGTGCAAAAACCGGGTTCGGAGTCCCCCGTGCATTTTTCCAACAGTTTATTTAGCCCATCAGATAACGAGTCAAACCTTCCAGCCAGATCTCCAGTACAGCATCCAAAACCAAAACACAGGCCTACCAAGTCAGCCTCTTCTTCAGCTTCTTCCGCCACTACACCAGAGAAACATGCACGTGGATTTAGTAGATTCTTTTCATCAAAAGGAAAACCTGCTCATTGAGCTTGCAGCTCGCAGGCTCTATGACAATTCATAATGGAAGCCTCACGTTGGTGACATTTGGAAAGCACCAAGGTCCAGACCCCTTCATGTTTGACAGAATTGAATTTTTTTAGGGGAGGTTTGTGTAGTTAAGGAGGGGATTCCATGAATATCAGGTGATTCTTGTATGTAACGGTTGTACATGTAACCATATGTTGTTTTCTTCTTTTCCTTTTCATTGGTTTTTTAGGTTCTGTAATTTAATTAGCCAACGACAAACGTTGACACAGTCTCTGAACTTTTACAGGATATATTGAATAAGGGTTTTATAAGAGTTATGTTATAGGAAAAGTGATTGTGTTATGTTATCGAGATTCGTTTTGCGTGCCGAAGTTTTTTTTTTTTTTTTTGCTGCGGGCTTCACAAAATGTTGTGTGTAGGAAACTTTTTGTGGTCGTGTTAAATGATAGATGATAAACTCATTAAATAATGTGTTGAATCTCACAAATTTATCCATACCTTAATTCTTTACGAGCAAAAATGCATACAGATTTTTCGAGTGGTTGCCATTTGTAATCAATGACAAAGATTTCAGCAAATACAACTACTAAAGGGTTACCGTTTTCTTTTTTTGCTTTTCGAATTGGTTTAGGTAACAGCGCAGCTTCGGCTTCTTGAAAAACATGACTTCTCGAACGACGAATTAGTGTTTAATTGAAATCTGATAATATAGTAGAAGATATAAGTGCTTCTTCGAGTGATGTTATGTATGTACTTATGCTAAAACGCCATAGCTTCCAACTAAAATTAAAATAACACAGTATGCCACTTTTACCTCTACTCTTACAAAGACATTGCCCAGTGCACTAAAGTTTGCCCTTACCTAAAGGCGATGCCAGGATTTTTTTTCTTAGGCTATATTATATATATATTTTAAAATGTACAATTGAAATAAAAATATATAATTAAATAAATACACTTACAATTTATTAATTTCACTACATAATTTTTTTTTTTTTGGAAACAACTACATAAATTAGAATATAATATAACATATCAAAAATATAAAAATAATTGAATTGACTATAAAATATACTTTATTTATTATACATTGATATCTAATAAATAATAAATATATTTGAGATTAACTAAAAAATTAAATTTTATAATTAATTTTTAATTCAATTCTTCCTACCTTGATTATTTAATAAATAATAAATATATTTGAGATTGACTAGAAAACAAAATTGGTTTTATTATATTTAAATCTACTTTGTACCTAAGTTTACTTTTATATTTTTATTTTATATTTTTTAAACTAACTGAAAAAATGAGATAAATTATTCTACCTACTTTTTTTTCTGCTTATCACTCTAAAAGATCATTAGATCAGAATCTTAATTAATATTTATTTTTCTCTCTTCTCTTTAGATTCTGAGCTATCAGTATTGGAGAGTAGACAAATATAAGCAGAAAAATAATAGGTAGAATAATTTATCCTCTAAAAAATATTACATTTTAATAAAACTTGGGGAAATTTTGTAAAACAACACTTGTAATAACATGATGATGGGTGGTGTCAAGCATACTACTCAAGCACTATATGGATAATATTAATAGACGGATTTAAAATGTGCAGGGGACGGTCACCCCGTAACCTTCTCTTGCTCCGTCATTGCATAACTATAAGTTACAATTTTCAAATAATATATATTGGACGGGTAGGATTATATTTATAAATTTTTTATTTATAAATTATACTATGTATTTCCGGAAGTACATTAGGTTATATACTATGTACTTCCAGAAGTACATAGTGAAATTTACAAAAAATTTGTAAACGGATCATTTCTCATATTGAACATGTAATAAAAATTGTGTTATGATTGATAAGCTTTAAAAATATATATGTTTTTTGTTACAAAAATATATATATGTTTTTCTGTTAAAAATTAGTAGAAGTTTTTGTTTTTATTTGCTAGGGGTGTCACTCATTTAAATAAGACCAATTCCATTTATGTTGTAGAGCATGAAAGTTTTTGTTAGCTCCAAATTACTCGCCTAGGAATCGAACTATTTTTTTATAGTTCTATTCCATTTTCAACTTAGTTAATAGGCATAGAATAAATCAATTTTTCTTATCATTTTTTAATTCTCAAACAAGTGAAGGGAATATCTTTCATTTTCTTCTCCTTCTTTCTCCTCCTTCTCCAAACTTTCAAAAAAGCCTAAATTTTTCAAGTTTGGGCACAACCCAATTACTAGCTCTGCCACTGCTTGAAGTCTAAGAAAATATTTTTTGACTTTTAAGAAAAGCATTAAAATTGTTTTTTCATGTCTTTACTTTATTTTATTTTTAAAAAAAGTATTAATTAAAATGTTTTTAAATTAAAAAAAAAATTCCTTCAAAAAGCTTAAACACACGGGCAATTATTTTCACTTCATTTTCTGAATAGATTGTAGGTATTATTATGTGTATGGATTATTTTTCAAATTATAAACAATGAGAAAAAAAAAAATACAGATTTTCATAGAGAATCTTGTACGTGTATTTGGGGAACACTGACACAGAACTATCATTAACAGTGGGCCCTCGTGTTTTAGGCCCAAGACGAGGGTCCCGGTATCTAGACTATTTTTCTTAACTTCAAATAAGTGTGAAATATATATCCAAAGACTCAAAACCAGAAAATGAAAAACATTCTGTTTTTCCCCTTATGTTATTTTTGCAAATTATGTCTTCTTCTGTGATACTGCACATTTTCGTTTGAAATCAAGCATTGCTGTTCAATTAATCAGCAATTACTTAATAAAACTTCTTTTCAGGAACTCTGAAATTGGCTGCTGCTATCAGATATTTATGAGTTTCTTTGTTTTTGTGAAAGCGCTTCAATTTTTAAATTATTTTTTTTTGTTTTTGTTTTGTTTCTTCTTGTATACTTCCCTCCGTCTAACAAACTCGAAAGACAAGTTGCACAAGGTGGAAGAATAGCCCACAATTCTAGAATGTAAAATTTAGGAAAATTCACAGAATTGAACCATTGGCGATTGAAGTTTGCTTTCTAATTGCATTATTTAGTTTGATTCAAAAAAAGATGTTGCATAGTTCAGCTCGCGATTTAGGCTTTGTTTGAGAGAGTTTTAGGAGGGGAAAGGAAGAAAAGTGAGAGTTTTAGTAAACCCTTCTCTTACTCGTGAGTTAAAAAAAAAGAGGGGAAGAGTTTGAGGATTTTTTCTAAACCCTCCAAAACCCTCCTTCTTCTTACAATTAAAGTTTTCTCAATTCGGAGGATTTGAGGGAAAAAATATTAAAAATTACTTATCTATCTTTAGCATTAAAATGTTAAAACTACATAATTGTGAATCATTTTTAAACACGATATTGTTAGAAAAGTCTCAAATACCGACAGAATTTATTGACGAAAAATATTTCGTCAAAAATAGTGATGAATTTTTTTACAAAAATCATATACGTCAAAAAATTTTCGTCAAAACTAAAGACAAAATTAGAGACGGAACCAGATTTTGCCGCAATTACTAACATAAATTTTGTACGAAAAAAAAAATCAATCAAAATTATTGATAGAATCTAAATTGCGTCGAAACTTTTAACAAAAATATTTCTGTTCAAAATTTTGATGAAACACATTTCCATCGAAAAGTTTTGAGGTAAAACAATTACGTCAAAATTTTTTACAAAAAATATTTCTGTAAAAAATTTTGACGAATTTTTTTTTGTCTGGCAAAATTCTTTTACGAAATCTAAATTTTGCCAAAACATTTCACAAAAAAACATATTCATCAAAATTTTTGACGAAAAATTTCAACGAAACACATTTCTATCGCAAATTGTTGACAAAAAAAATTTCATCAAATTTTTTAATAGAATTTAAATTCCGCCTAAAGTTTTCGACGAAAATATTTTCGTTAAACTTTTTGGCAAAAAAATGTCGAAATTTTTAACGAAACACATTTCCTTAAAAAAATTTCGACGAAAAATATTTCCGTCAAGTTTTTTGATAAAAAACATTTCCATCAAATTTTTCAACCGAACGTGTTTCTGTCAAAAAATTTCGACAAAAAATATTTTCGTAAAATTTTTTGAGGAAAAATATTTTGACAAAAAATTGTGACAGAAAAAATATTTTGTCAAAATTCTTTACAGAATCTAAATTTCGTCGAAAGTATCGAATGAAACATTTCCCTTAAAATTTCTAAAAAAACAATTTCTGTCGAAATTTTCGTCAGAACACATTTCCATCGAAATTTTGAACGGAAAACGTTCCGTCAAAATTTTTGATAGAATTCTTTTTTCATTTAAAACATTTGATAGAAAATAAATTTCGTCGAAAATTTCGATAGAAAATTTATTTTTGTAAAAATTTTCCTTAGTTGAAAAATTCCATCGCTTTTCGACGAAAAATATTCTGATGAAAAAAATAATTTTGTGATAAAATTTTCATCATTTGCAACGTAAAAATTTCATCGAAAATATGATTTTTTTGGTGTTGTGAAAAGTACATAAATAATTTTGTTAGAAATTTTAAATTTAATTTAATTTGTAAAATATAATAATTATATTAATTTTAAAAAAAGGTAAAATGGTAAAAATATCTCTTTAATCTTTCTTTATCATTTTTTTAACTCCCAAACAAGGGAAGGGAATATCCTTCAATTTCCTCCCCTTCCTTTCTCTCCCTCCTCCTTGAATCCCCTTCCTTCTCCTCCCATCCAAACTCCCAAGCTTTAAGGTTTTGACCAAATTATTAGAATAGAATAAAACGGGTCATGAACACCCGTAATTTATCATAGTCATATACTAGAAATCGAGGATCCGTGAGTAATTCAATATGGTAGACTCAAACGTTGATCACATATTGGAACGTTTAAGGGATTTCAATAGTTACAGTATTATACTTGTATTTTATTTTTGTAATTTTTAGGAGTTCACAAAATCAAGCATATTTTATATAATTTAATATCTTCTTTTTTCTTACAGTGTTTCTTGTGTCTTTTAAGACTTTTTTGGGCATTCTTCAAATAATACTTGTTGTATTGTATTTAAAAATGAAAACATTGTCTACCGAAAAAAAAATGAAAACATTCTGTACAAAACAAAATGAAAACATTAATT